CAAAAAAACCCCAAAACAACAACAAAAAAAAACCCAACCACAACAACCTATTCCACTTGCAAGTGGAAAAGACTTACTAACTAATGTTCTAAACTATTTCTTCATAATATAATATACAATAGATTGTCACTATTGACATCTCTCATTCATTAGAGGTGGCCTCCCTGCTCCTTTCATCCTCCCTCATTCTAATACTTTGGCAGGAATTAAATTGTGGATTTATTAGTTGTTTTCATAGATACCTTAGTCACCTTGCTTGCCACGTTGAATTCCTACTCCAATGCCTTAATGTGACATGGAAGAGACACTGAACTCTCAAAGGCTATTATTACCAATAGATAAAAGCTCTGGCAGGTTGTACTAAGATGGAAAATTCTCAGGTCTGGGTCTAGCAATAGATCGCCATCCATGCTTCAGATTTAATCATTTTGGAGAGGCTCAGAACAGGAAGGCTGACAAGGGACAAAGTTTTTCTGGATCCAAAAACTCACGGCCACCTACTAAGATGTGGATATGATTTCTGTCAATGGCAAAAGTGCTAGCACTGATGAAATCACACGGTCTGGGATTTCTTTTCTTTCTTTCTTTCTTTCTTTTCTTTCGATACTTGACAGATACCAACAAAATAGGTATTTCTGTTGTGGTTGTTGCTGTTTGTCCTTTGTTCTGGAAGAGTACCTCGACTTCTAGGAGGTGATGCCAAGGCAAGTGAATTGGATTCAAGTGAGGGAGGGCTGTGCAAAGTCACTAGCCTCACTTTCTCCTCCACAGCCATTTGTGTCCAGTGGCCAGATATCAATCTGTATGACTGGAGATAGCCCTCATTTCTATGTACAAAGGAGAAAACAGGGATTGCACATGAAAGCACAAATTTCCATCACATAGTTTGGTCCTTTTTTCTTTAAAGTATACAGTAAGTTCAGCATTCTAGTACCAAACCTTGTCTACACTTTGTCATTAACTTCCTTTTGTTCTCTTTAAAAAATGCAGCTTACTGTATACTTTAAAGAAATAAGTAGAATGTGCAAAAGCTTCATGTCAATATATTATCAATTATTTCTTCAGATAGAGAGTTGGAAGCTGCTAGACACAGCAGCAAAAAAAAAAAACATCAGAAAAAAATGAAACTGACTATGTTTCTCAAGCAGTGGAAATCCAGATGTGGGAATTATATCATAACCATTTGTCATACACCATTTGCTAGTTTAGAAGGAAGGTCCAAATCAACATGAAATTAAATGAAAAGCTAATAATGACAAGATGACAATGTATATAATTGCAACAGCTTCAATCTGACCTATTTAAACAAGCCATCTGGGTTTTTAAGAAGGAAAATTTTTAAAAGTAAAGATATTGACTTTATCACCATTTGCCATTCAACCTACACAAAGCAATCTATACAACAAAGTGGCCCCAAAAGCCCAGAAATTCTTTAGAGGACATCAGTCTGAACAATCAGCATTTTTCATCCACTTTTTTCTTTCTGTGTGGATTGTTCAAATGAACTCTTCTGAGGAATTATGAAGCTCATTATAAAGAATCTACAATGTTATAGAGTTTGATTTAATCCGCTCATTTTTAATGACAGTAGCAAATGGCATTGGTGAGCATGTCTCCTTTTTTTTGTTCCTCATTTATCATAGGGTTGTTGAACAATGTATGTCTGTTATAACATCTTTCAGGAAATCTTGAATAATTTTGATAGCTATGTAGGAATCACATTATTGATGAACAGCCTGCAAAGTACTAATTTGATCTATGGAATCAAATGGTTTTTTATAGTCAACAAATAATAATCACAGGATCTTGTATTCCTTATACTTCAGTCACTATGTGACTCAAAAGCTGTAATCAATGGAAGAACATTGTTTGTGAAAATCTGTTCATTCTCTTCTCACTATTTCTTGATTAATGTCATAAAAGGTTTGGAAAAGGCCAAGTAGGCTCATGGATTTCAAGGATCCAGGTGACTTCTATGCCACAAAAGGCATCAGAGTAAGATTTTGTAAAGACAATGGCAGTATATGAAACAAACACACAGAGGGAGATAGTGATGGGACTACCATGGTGGTATAAATTTGGAGTCAGAGAATTAAGTACAAACACTAGCTCTACTCAGCTCCTACAGCCATCATTGATGGAAGTAACGTCTGTGGACAAGAAGCCAGCCATTCTCACTGACTGCTGACCAAATGATCCTGACAGAGGGAAAAGAGAGGAGGTAGCATGTCTCAGGTGAGTTAGAACACTGCCACCATCTCCCAAGAGGGACCCCAAGATAGCCCAAGACCTTGGGCCCCAAAGCCCAGAGAATAGAAATACAACCAGGGGAGAAACTCCTGTGGAAATAGATGTACCTTTCGAGCTGCTTCTGCAGCTGCTATAAACCCTGCCTACTCAGCAGCCATAGCTACTGAAAACATGGAAATCAAAGTTCTTGCCACCAAAGTCTTTAGCATATGAAATGGTTTGATATCACAAATGGATAAAGTTTTATCAGTGTGAATGACATTAAGGAAGATGCATTACTATGTGCTTTGAGTTCAAATCCAACCTTAGACAACTTACTGGTAGCACCTACCTCTCAGGGTTGTTGTAAGGATTAAATGAAATGGCATTTGAAGCACTTAACACTAATGTCTGGCACATAATGGTGCTTAATAAATGCTTGCTTACTTCCTTCCTTTCCTCCTTGCAGCTGTTTCCAAAACCCTGTGTGAAACCTCCTATATGTATTGTCTTCCCTTGAGGTAAAGAACTGTTTCCACTATTCTATATGTATTTTCAGTGCTCATCACAGCACTTTGTACATTGTTCAGTCATTTTTCAGTTGTGTCTGATTCTTTGTGACCCCATTTGGGGTTTTCTTGGCAAAGATATTGGAGTGGTTTGCCATTTCCTTCTCCAGCTCATTTTATAGATGAAGAAAGTCAGGCAAACAGGGTTAAGTGACTTGCCCAGGGTCACACAACAATACCACCTGTTTATAATAAGCGCTTAATGGTTTTTCATTCATCCATTCATTTAATATAATGATGGTTGAATTGATTTTAATTAAGTGGTAAAGTATTCTATTAATAATTAAAATGTGAGTTCCATGGAGACAAAGACTGTATTTTATAAAAAACATTATATGCTTCCCAGTACCTACCATAGTACTCTGCAAACTGTAGGTGTTCAATATTGTAATTGAATTGAATTGTGGTAGAATAAGAGCAGCACCTAAAGGCAGAAACACAGAGGGAAAAGTCTTGGGACAACCTTCATGGAGAATGAGATAGGGGGTAGTCTAAAGAGCATACAAGTATGCACAATGTATCCGACTTGCTTCATTCATGAGCCCTCCTTATCTACCTCCTGGCATCACTGGCTTCCTTCAAGCCTCAGCTAAATACCCACCTTCAGCAAAAAGCATTTCCTGATCCCTCTTAATGCTAATTCCTTTCCTCTATTACTGTCTCAGTTTATCCTGTAGAAATCTTATTTGTACATGGTTGTTTTAATATTGTCTCCCCCTTTAAAGTATGAGCTCCTTATATTTGTCTTTTTGTCCTCTGTGTGTCAGGCACAGTGCATGGCTGGCACAAAGTAGGCCAAGTATTACTTCATAAAGTACTTTTTATAAAGGCACTACTTTTATTTATAAAGCCTAGCTTTATAAATGCTCGTTAATTTGATTTGCCCTGTTAATTCTGCTTAACCCCAGAATAATTCACTATATTCACTTAAGGTCAATACATTGCGGCAGAAGATATCAGATGTGGTTGAGAAGACCAGCAACATGAAATCAGACCTGGGTTCTAGTTCACAATTTGCCAATTTCTTCATCCAACAAGTGAGGAGGATGTTTTAATTTACTTCTAACCCTAAAAGCCTATACTTTTAGCAATTGCTCACATGGAGTTAATTTTAGACATAGAATAAACTTCAGGTGAAGAAGTGGTTCAAACCATGTGGAATTACTCGGAGCCTTTCCCCGATTCCGGCAGTATTGCCCCAAGGCCCAGTTTATTTATTTATCTGTCCCATCGCCCTTTGCCCTACCTCTCACTTAAAGGATTCCATCAAACACACCATCATGCACAACAAGCTCTCTTACAGGTTTAGATCTGGACAGAGAAAAGGGGTGAAATTCTGAGTTAGGAAGCGATGCAGGAAGGGTATGAAAAGTTGGTTCCAGGTTGGTGAAATGGGCCTAAACTGAAGATGAGGCACAAAGCTCTACCTCTGCAGCAGCATTTACACGTGGACAAGAATCGGATGGGGGAGATCTTCCTTCTGCCTCAGATCATTTTTAACTCAGATTGTAAACCTTGTGGTGGGGGAGGGCGACAGTGCATGCCTTAGGGATTTGAGACATAAGACCCCAAGGACGAGAAGCTTTTCCCCCAGAATGGGGGTCACAGTGCCTCTTCCTGTATGTCTGTGAATAAGCTCGTACCTGCGCCCTCCCCCAACCCCTTCACTTCTCTCCAACTCCACGGACCCTCGCAGTCGGTCATAGCGGTCAGGCGGCCGGCCTGGGACTCTCGAGAGGGTACCTGCCTTTAATTCTTGGCCACGGAGCTCACTACCTTCCCTGCACGGTCGGTGGGTGGGTGTTTGCTCATCTCGGGGACGAAAGGTACCCTGAACAGTTTTGGTTCCTGCTACCGTTCCCTCCTCTCCGTGGGTACCCCAGGACTCCTCCCCAACCCCTCGATGCATGTCCAAGCCAGAGCCCGGGTTCTAGAAGCCGGAGTGCAGGTACGCTGCGCTGGGGCGCGCGCTGAGTTTGGGCACGTGTCCCAGGAGGCTTGGTCTCCTACTGTAACCATTGTAGTGTGGGTGGAAGCGGGGTGGCACGGTCTTTCAGCAGAATCGCCGGCCTTGCGGACCGGGGCCAGGCCTCCCGTCCAGCTTCGTCTCCCCGCAGTGCTCCGAATCGCCGCATCCCCTCGAGCTTTGCCCACCTAGAGCTA